CTAGTTACGCCACTGCCGCCAATATGGGAAAACCGCTTCGACTTAGATTTAAGGACATCTATTAATCCTGACAATAAAGTATCTGCATTTCATGAAATACATTGCCAAAAAGCTTTGTATGAACTCAAGAATATTAATCCATCAAAAGCAACAGGTTTTGATAACCTCCCAACATTACTGATTAAACTTGCTGCATCCGAGATTATTTATCCATTCAGCTTGTTTGCCAATAGATCTATATCGGAAGAAGTTTTTCCAAACTCAGAAAAATGTGCAAAGATTGTACCTCTATACAAATCTGGAGAAAAATCACAACTTGATAACTATAGACCGATATCGATTTTACCTGCATTTTCAAAGGTAATCGAAAGACTGATCTATAGACAGACTAGACAGTTGCACAAATATTTAGAGGATAATAAATTCTTGTCACCAGCACAATTTGGCTTTCGCAGTGGTCGATGTACATCACAGGCTGTCTTGCGTCTCACTGACCATATACGAAAAAACATGGATATAGGTAATTTAACAGGAGCAGTATATGTTGATCTTAGAAAGGCGTTTGATACTGTGAATCACGGCTGTTTACTTACAAAGCTATCATATTATGCTATTGTGAACAATGAACTGAAATGGTTTGAGGATTATTTGTTTGGACGATCACAATTTGTCCAGTATAACTCGGTCAACTCGCAGGTTGAAGCAGTGACTTGTGGCGTGCCACAAGGATCGATCCTAGGGCCTCTGATGTTTGTGGTTTTCATAAACGATTTAGACATTGCGCTCAAAAAAACCAAGCTAATTCTCTATGCCGATGACACTGTTGTATCAGTATTACTCTGGAAAAACGTCAAAAGAAATTATCAAAATTTTGAATGATGATTTACAGGAGCTGGGTAAATGGTTCAAGAAAAATAGTCTGGTTATTAATATGAAGAAGGGAAAAACAGAATTCGTTCTCTATGGAACTGCAAAACGTATTGCGATACAACAATCTAGCGGTGAGCAAATCAATGTGACTATTTGCGGTGAAAACGTTAATCAATCTGCATCATATGATTACCTGGGTGTGACTTTGGACAGTAAATTAACTTTTACTGAATACTTTACAAGAAGGGCTCTACGAGACTAAAACTGCTATCCACTGTACGTGAGAGTATCTCGCCATATGTTGCTGAAACAATTTATCGCGCTATGATTGAGCCGGTTTGATGTACTGCAGTGAATATTTTTAGGTGATGAGTGGCAAAGTTGTCATAAACTGCAGAATCTTCAGGAGCGTGCGAACAAGATCATTTTTGGAAAAAAATGCCCGAAATACACGAATCCCTCTTAAAAATCGAAGAGAAATGGATGTAGCTATCACAATTTTTAAATGTATACATGATCTTTCACCGTTGGCGTCCTGTTTAGGCTTTTCTAAGCTGAATCATGGGAAGAATACCCGAGGAAATGGATTGAATCTTGTCCTACCGAAGGTCAGAACAGAATCTGGGAAAAAAGAAACATTTGCATTTCAAGGAACTAAGTTGTACAATAAGTTAACAAGGGAACTTAAAGAAGAATGATCATTGCTCCTTTTTAAATCTAAACTTAAATTGTTCTATTCTTAGTGAAATAACTCTATATATAAACTAGAATGAAACTGAACCGATCTGTTCATTTTAAAGTTTTTAAAGTTTCTACCTTATTATGAACTTAACTTTGTATAATAATATAGTTTATTGTAAATTTTTAATGTAGTGTGCAGGTCCCCTATTTATAACAGCTGTCTCAGCTGATAGGGTCAACCTGTTAAAATAAAGATTATTATTATTATTAGTTTGTTCTTTGTAATTGTAGGCACTTAATTCTGATATCGGGAATTTGAAGGGCTTGCTGGAGAAAAATAAGGTTGTGCTTTTGGCTCGAAATTCTGCCAGACATTCGGCTTCGTTCACTTTGTGGAGGCAAAAAGGCGAATAATTGCTGTATATGGGAACTCAGAATTCCTTGAATCGTACGCTAAGTACAGTAAAATAAACTGTTCCTCTGTCAAAACACCTTCTTCAAAAAGAACAAGACAAACTTCTTTGACTGTTTCTCGAAATGAAGACATAATATCAGCCGTCGGAGCTGGGTTAGCTTTTGCTTAATGTTTTGAAATTCGCGCGGGAACGGCATACTGATTCCCAGGTTTCCTCGTGCTGTCACGTTGCCATTGGCTCGTAAAACGTCGGTGCTTTAGTTCGCTAATAGCAGGGATTTCGCCGTTGCCGAGTAACTCGCCTTGCCGGGTCACTCGCCTCCATATAAACAGGCCCTAATTACCTGTCATGGAATCTGAGAGAAGTACAGAAGTAGTCAGGCACCAGCTAAGCAAAAACGCTGTCGCCACCACAATCAATAAGCGATGCTCAACAATTACCTACAGTGGAAAGACAGTGTTTTTAAGCTTGTAAATCTTCTGGAAAGTGGTGTTGTAGAAAACTTGTTGAAGCAATAATTCAGTAATTCTTAATCTCTCTACAATGTTTTAACAATTTTCTCGGCCAAAAACCACTTGGCCTTGAAAATTTGAAATGTTTTGGTTTTACAACTCGGAGTGAAAGAAATGGTTTTAGAACCGGTATATCTCACAGAAAATCTCAGATATATTACACAAATGTTTGGTAGTAAAGTATAAGTGCTTGTTGACTGCAAATTCAATTGTTTTTCGTTGCAAACTTGTCTGAACAATTTATTTTACGAATGCATTTTTTCGCTGTTGTTTCGGTATTAGTTCTTTAATTTAAAAAACTTCTGCTTCGCAAAACTCTCGCTTTTCGTAGCATTAAGTTAATTTAAGTAGAATAAAAAGTTAAAAACACAATGAAAACACTTCCAGCAATTGTTTACAGGTTAGCAAATACACTTTATACTTAAAGGTGCCCTACAGTCCGTATGTAAACAAAGCCTTTGTTTACATTTTTGTGTCCAAAATATTGAGCTTTATTCGACAACTATTTATATTTTCAAGCTTCTAGAGTATAATAAATGATCAAGAAGCAACAATCAGGCTTTGCAAGAACCCAAAACATAGTTAAACTGTTTGTATCATAAAAAGTGGGCTCCTTTGTGCACATGCGCATATCGGACTGTAGGGCACCTTTAATTATATTAATACACACAAAACATTAAGCTATATGAACCAATCTGCGTGATCAGTCGTGCCCGCAGGAATATTAATGAAAGGACTTAGCTACATCTCGTCCATTTTACGTTATTGCTGACGTTGTAGAAATGCCAATTTTCAAAAAACAATGCATGCGCCATATCTCAATATTTTGTCGGCCGGTGACCTATGTGGAAATTTTGCATGCCGTATAATAATAATAATAATAATATATTTCAATAACAACAAATACCAAACAGGCATATATGAAAACATTTACATATAAGTACCTAATGTACTGTAAACTAAACAATAAAGTACGTACCATATAGTTCATGGTTAGGAGTGCGACATGCGTACTAAT